GCGGAGTATCTGGGGAGCTGGAAGATGAGAACTGGCGACTTTGTAGTACAACGGAGTATCTGGGGAGCTGGAAGATGAGAACTGGCGACTTTGTAGTACAACTTTAGTACGCGGAGCAATCTGTGGAGCTGGAAGCTGAGAAGTGGCGACTTTGCAGTACAACTTTAGTACGCGGATGAGTCATCTCTCGCGGCTGAGTCATCTCTCGCAGCTGCTCTGGCGCCCCTGCAGCTGAGTCATGTCTCCCAACCACCCGGCTCTCTTGAGAGGTTGACACACACAAACAGAGACCCACGCACTGCCTCAACTTACTCGGAGACACACACAGACAGAGACTCATACACACACAGACATAGATACGCACACACAGAGACCCACACACTGCCTCAATTCACTCGACTTAACACTTCACACTGAACACTTACCAGATAACTCACACTCTGACTTCCTACGTGATGAAAAAATGCTTTCGGGCCACTCGTCGTCTAGTTTTGATGATGTGCAGTTTTTTTTCTGTCACTTTTTTTTGCTACGACGGAGGGTTCAGGTATACATTGACCCCCTATATATACATATGTCATATTTGCCTACGTTGACAATAAACAAAAGGGACGGACACACATCCTACAATCCGGACCCCCACAGAGGTGCAGGGTTTTGAGTTTTGAGGGTTCAACATCCGAAGATTGGAGGAGAGGGTCCAACTTTGGAGTGCCAAACGATTCCTAGGACCCTCCTATGGAGGGTTTTGACCCTGCATAACAGGGGTTTGGACCCGAACCAAACCTTCACCTTTGAGGGTCCTTGATTCTTCGGGTAAGAAACAACAATTAAATCAAACAATGTCATGAAAGATTCCAGTTTGGGTGCATGATGGTGCATGCCAAATACACTGACACCCAGCAAGCAAAAGACTTGATGAAAGGCCCATAGCATCATAGATTGTGTGTGTGTCTGTGGCTCGTGTTTGAGATACACTCCCGAAAACTAACATGAACCCGGGTCAAATGGCACCCCGAAAGACTGTTTTCCTCTACAAACCAGTGGTTTTCAGGGGTTTTGGGCTAGTTTTCAGTGGAGTGTAGGCTCCCGTTGAAGGAAAAAGCCTCAATCTGCATGGGGAACGTTGCCCAACAAATCTCCCTCAAATCCTTCCCATTTAAGGGTCTGGATTCTTAGGTTTAGAACCTATGTCTGAGTCTAAGCCTTCAGCCTTTGGATCCTTAGGATAGTACCTATCCCAAACCAACCATGGGACTGGAATATCATCGATTTTAGACGTACCGTACCTACGTTGACCCTTATCTTAAAACACTCCAATGTAGGCAAATATGCCAGTCCCCATGGATTCTGCAGGTCTCATCATCGTGATCGAGACGCGCTGTCCCGACAGGACAGGCATCTCACCCCAGGCATCCAAGAATCCAAGAGCCCAGGAAAAAAAAAAAAAAACATCAAATGATAGTATTATCATGTATCAATCCGAACAAAAGAACATGTTGAGCCATGTCATGATATGTTGAACCTCAGTTTGTAGCATGCCCTGTCCGAGTCTGCCTATATTCCTGCAAAGAAGTGCTGAATCTTCAAATGCGGAATCATCATTATACCTTCAAACGAGATCGAACGAGTCTGGTTACCTTTTGTCATGGCCCAACAAAAGCTCTATACCTAAAACTTCCGCGGTCTGCTTTCGCCCCGTGCGCCGTGCGCCCTGGCCTTCTGATACGTTTCTTCACCCGTCGCCCGTCGTATAGCGACTTCGCCCGTCCTAAACAACGGAGAGGTCGTCGAACGCTACGTGTTCTCGGCTCCTCTGGGCGATAGAAGTCCTGCTCCAAGGCCTTGGCCTCGTCGCGCACGGCCAACAGCACCGCCTGCAAGGACGAAGAGACGACCAGCTCCGAAAGCACGATACCCAAAGACCTTACGACAAGGTACGACTGGTAGGAGCCGGAATTGGGCCGGCATGTTCCTTTTTTTTGGGGTGGGGTTTTGGGAGAAGCGGCGCAGATGGATGTTTGGAGGTTCTTCCATCCGAAAGTCGATCGGTCCGCAGAAAGTAGATCGAGTTCTGAGTTACTGTGCATCACAAGAATTTAATATATGGCTTAGCCTTCAAGGAATTCACGAAGACTCCTAGAACCTCTAGGTGAACCTCTGCAGTTTGAATGGTTCTTGGATCCTTCGGTGGTTCTGGACCCGCCGAAACAAGTCTCTGGTTCCACCCACTGAACTCCCTGGCACCTGCTTCTCCTTCTGCTTGAAGCCGGCATCAATCAGGCAGAAACCTGCCATCGATGGGAGGAGTGCAAGGAGTGCAAGGCAGCGAGAGGCCAAAATCGTTGGGACCAGTTCTACGATCACTAACATTCTAGTTCTAGGATCCAGTAAAAACAATTGCCACAAACACTATGGGTCAGCAATCATCATATCATGTGCGTTCATTGTTTCCTCACTACCCGGTGAACAGAAACCGTTGAAAGAGTGGCACCGCAAGCTACCGGGTATCCCACTCCGAAGGGGCGACCAGTATTCCACTCATATAGAAATTTGCACCAAGTGGATGAATGACAACGTTACTTGCTAAGTACACCTACACCCATCTACATGTTCCCAACACATCTTCTTCACTCATCCACTCCTGCTCCAGCACCAGCAAAACTATGTTTTTGAATCTGAATGCATTTGATACTTTGTTTTAATAATCTCTTTTGACCCATCCCCATCCTGTCTTTTTCTTCATCCACAACCCGGCACAGCCTGTCCGCCAAAGCCCGTCCGAGGCCACTGTTTCCAACGTACCAGTCGATCCTCCCTGGCAGCCTAGAGAATGATTTGGATGACCAGTCACGACCAGTCGGCCCTCTGGTGCCTCTTTAGCCTATGAATCGCCGTAGTCACCGCCGCAGGACCCGGTTCGACCCACCCAGGAGTCCACCCCCCCAAACCCCACCCGGGACACGCTCCACCCGCTCCAGACCGACGGACCGACACGGTTCGGGCTTAGCTTCGGAGCTTCGGAGCTTGGCGGACTTGGGCATGGAGAAAGGACCCAACACGGTCCTCATGTGGTTGTGCATCAAAAGCTGAAGTCTTGGTAGACGCGACATGGCTGTTATGTTTCTCCGATCCAACTGCCATGTTTTGTATTTCCGTCCTGCCTTCCCTCGACCATCAAAAACAATTCCGTTGACCTAGTTTTGCAGTCTAAAATCCTTAGGAAAGCAGTGGTTATGTAGTAAAAAAAATGCATAAAAACAGTGGTGAGTGGAATGAGAGGGTGTCTTGTCTTTCAGCTTTCCCCCTGCACAGCGCGGGCACCGGTCCCGCCGTTTCAAGCTCGCCTTGCACCGTCAAGCTCGCCGCCACCTCTTCTGCCGAAGCGTCTCGCTCCTGAGCACAAAAACCCGGCATTCTGGTCCCCAAAAAGTATTCGTGGCACGTTTTCTCCAATGGCATCTTTTGGTGGGAGATCTATTTTTTTCTAGCCATTTGGGGGTCTATATCGTCTCTAAGAGGCACCTCGAACGGAAGGTGGTAGTCCTGGTACAGGTTGGGTCTAATCCCATTCCGTGGGCCTTGTGAGTGACGATGGGGCCTGGTTGCAGGGATATCAAAAAGAGCGATGTTCGTTTTTTCGACTGTTACTGCTTGACTGGGTCACCCAACATATAGGTCTAGTCTGACGCAGGTCCAGTCTCCTAGTCCTGAAGATCTCATTGACCAACTCCGGTAAAATAAGATTGAAGTGACCTGCAGGGAAAATATACCAGGACTCCTAGAATCCTAAAAGTTTTTGAAGTGAGAGCATTGCCGTAAAAGCCATAGGCTTGCCAGCGTTGGCCATGAGGAAGTCCCTGTCGGGTTGCTCATTTTTTGTTGCAATCAGCCGCTTCCCAAATGTCACACCCCAGTCAGTGCCCGTCACCCCAGATACTAAGACACCAAAGCACATCCCCCTGGGCGAAGCTTTCGTCCGCCAGCAATGGCCGCGCAAGAACTCCTTGTCCAGAAGGAGGGTAGAAAATGGTAGACGTTGCACGTCGTTCCATCTCAATCCCCCCCCAAATCATCAAGAGTACGCACCCAATTACCCATTGATCATCCAGATCACGGCTTGCGATCGCATGCTCAAGTTTGGCAACCACAAATAGGGGAAGAGGGACTGCTTCCTTCACCGGCGCACATTTCCACTCGTCCTGTGCTAGCCATGCCTCTACTGCTGGGCTGCACACTCCTTCCAATAATGGTCCCAGGCCCAACTTATGGCCCACAAATTTCAAGGACTTCACACTCTCTTTCGCTCTGCACACTCGCTTGGTTCCCCTATCCAGGGCGGCCCCGCTTGCCAATGCATCACAGAAATTCAGGCTCGAAGCCACTGAAGGGTGCCCAGGGAAAACAAGTGCACCGCGACAAAAGTCAAGCCATTTCTGCCAGCCACGCAGGTATTTTGCAAGTGTCGCTGAGGACCGATCTTCAAAGATAAACGCCAACTGATCTCCATACTTGTCAGGAATAGACAGCAGCACATCACTGTCCCCCCGCAAATCTTCGGCCAGCCCAGACCATGCAAGAGCCAATTTCCTTCGCTTTTTGCCATCCTCACCTCTGGAAGAAGTTGCTGCTGCAAGGGAGACTCCTTGCGCACGCTGTGGCAGCTTTGCATGCGAGCCAGTCTCTGTTTGGAGAGGAGAATTAATGCTCACGCCACGAGATAACTCAACAGGACGCACGTGTTTTCGTCTCCAATCTGGAAACGGCAGGGGGCTTGCTCCCCTTTTCATAGGCGCTGGCGGGGGCGCTCTAGGCAGTGGCCAGGGAGTATCCCTTTCCAAATCAGCCAAGCGCTTCCACCCCATCCAAAAGAAGAAGGAGAACCAAACAAATCAAGATAGTTTTCAATTTGCAGCTGCACCCAGCACCGCACTTTAACCAAGCAGCTGCACTGTACTGTAGGATGCACATGCAAGCATCATTCCAGATCCACAAATGCATCCACTACTGCAGCCGCACAACTGGCAAATGTACCAGCACTCATGAGGGTTTGATGTGTTTGCCAGGTCAACACAGGCTCGATCCACAAATGCATCCACTACTGCAGCCGCACAACTGGCAAATGTGCCAGCACTCATGAGGGTTTGATGTGTTTGCCCGGTCAACACAGGCTCGTTGTTTCTTCACTGGACCCGTGGTCCATGCCAAGGGGAGGCGGTCGAAAGCTAGCGGAAGCACACTGGCGGTTTCTCTACTGCGCTGCGGTCGCTGAGGCTCAATCTTTGCGTCCACTTATCATCGATGTGGGATCAAGTGGGTGTACACATATATATATATATATATTTGTGATGGAACATCCACTTTACATGAGGCGAAGCAGGTGGACGAACGGTATAGAGCTTAGCTTAGCAGCAGCCCAGCAGCAGCAGCAGCAGCACCAAGCAGCAGCAAAGCAACAGCAAGCAGCCGCAGCAACCAGCCGCAGCAGCAGCAGAAAGCGGCAGCAGCAACCAGCCGCCGCCGCCGCCGCCGCCGCAGCAGCAGCAGCAGCAACCAGCCGTACCAGCAGCAGTAGGCAACAGCAGCAGCAGCAGCAAAGCAGCACCACCAGCGTGTTTGAGGGTCCGGATTCTTAGGGAACATACATGCTTTACCTATTTTTACCCACGCATTTCTGAAAACATATTTCTCACTGTCCCTAGCGACAATAACATCTTATTGAACAAATTTAAAGAACAGGCTCCGAAAGGACACAGCGGCGAAAGGGTCGCCGAGTCGCCAACCAAGTATAGTTATAATAAGATTGGTAAGCAAATGTAAGCAGTTAAAGGTAATTCTTTGGGAGTAGCCCTGCCTCTGGTGGTAGCCCCGTCGCACTCCTCCCAACTTCGTCCAAGCCGCCGCGTCGGGCGAGTCCGCCACCAGTCGCACCGCCGAAAAACGTGCATCGCGCATGGCGCGGCACGAGCAAACCGACCGTGGTATATCCCATGAACAGCGGATAATCATGGTTAGGTTGCAGGCCTACTGCTGCACAGGAGCGATGTTCTCTTGGAAACCTACTGCTGTACTGGTTTGCTGGGACCATCGGGGACCTAAATCCCAGACTTTGGACCGAGCGATGGAAGACCTCCCTTTGGAAGAGATCATAGACCAACCTACCCTCATTGGGCCTACTCAGCAGGGCCAGGGGCTCCTCCTATACACACCCCAATGGGTCCGTAACGGGATGTACTTGTCTCCAGGAAACTCTTGGAAGGTACCGATCGTTCTTTGAAGAAACCACATCTTCAACTAATCCGCTTAACGGTCAATCTCAACAGAGCCCCTGAGTTCATCCCTCAAAAGCGACCCAAAAACGACCCGTTTCAGCCTTCCGCTTCAGCATCCAAACGATGCTTGACCTAGTTTTGTTGTCTCACTTTCTAAAAACACTCCTAGACACATCCAAACGCTCCATGTGAGTTTTCTTTGGGCCTACATGAACACCACCCACCACCAGCCATGTGGGCCATATTGTCCGATGGAGCCATTGGGAATGGTATACAATATTTCCAGGGGCCCCACATGGCCCATCCAAAAACCTGGTCTTCCCTATAGCAGAAAAAACTGGTTTTTCTACGTGAACACCTTTGTTTTCTTCATGGGAAAACTGGTTGACCGGGCCCCTGGCTTCGTATCTGCTCGTCGGATCGACGCGGCGCCATTCCTCGGTTCTTCCCGTTTCGCCCCCAACGGTCGACGCGTGGTCGGCTGAGCTTAGCTTTGCCACATGGAACGTTTTCGTCCGAATCCCTGCGATCATTTCGGAAAGAATCTGGACATATCTGGACGCTGTGTCTATCCCGGATAGGTTTTTGGTGCAGAGAGGCATCAGTAGATGGCACACCTGATCCACATGAAAAGCACCTTCATCGAGTCCTCTAGCGAAACAGCTCAAATTCCATCCAAAGATCTGCAATTCCAGTAAAACCCCTTGACTAAACCAAGCAAAACCTTCCGGCGCCGGTCTGCGGAATGGGTTGCAACGAAGATCAGCAAGTGCACCCAAAAAACTGGTCAGCAAACATTGGGGCCCTGCAAACAGTGTCCAAATCGCTCCATGTATGGCATAATTACATATACATATACATAAGCGGTAGTTTAGGGATTTCACTGGAGGTACACATTCCATACCAGCACACGGTGCATCCCGTTGCCTTCTCACCTGGATTCTTCTCTCAGTTCTCACCCCCCAAATCCCACCTGTCGCCCCCAAATCCTGCCCCTACCTCTTCAATGATCTCAGGGACTGGAATGTCAACCATGAGTTCGACCTCACTTCGAACGTGCGAACAAGCAAGGTCAAAGCGATACTGTAGAATGTGTGTAAAAACTTGTTGGTGTAGTGAAAACAACGCCTGAGCGTTGTAGATGCTTATAGCACCCGTGTGCTGGATTTTGCACACTTTTAGCAAACCTGTGAGGAAGATGTTTACGCGACTTGTTTTGTACAACAATGGAGCTTTAAGAGTTGCTACTTGCAAAAGCAAACGACGAACTGGTAGAAAAGGGACGACATTGACACAGCATCCACACAAGAGATTGCATATAGGTGTTGCAAAGCTCATCTACATCAGCAAGGGAAGGACAGTAAGCTTTGAAGGATGTTTCGCACCTGGTCCGCGAAGCGTTGCGGCGCCACTGCAGTTGGCAAAAGGCTTTGGGTTTGGGAACCATAGGGGCTACTACGCACGGATGGACATGATACTTACGCGCCTCCGCGGAACTTAAACGCGCCTTGCCCGCAAAAATGTAATGATTCTCCTCGGCTTTTGTGAGGTCCCTGTGGCCTATGGGAATTATACAGGAACTTGCTGTAGGTTTGATGATGTTTGATGGCTGCCACACTCATCCAAGTTATGTACAGATCCTCTCAAAAGAACAAGTCAACATCGAAAATCAGCCCCAATAGCACCCTATAGTGGAGCGTTCTCTATGGAGCGAGACCTCTCAGCAGGCACACCAAGCACCTGCTAAGGCTGAACATTTTTTCAGCTCTAGCTGCTCCATGGAGTGCTCACAGCAAATGTGAATTGCAAAACCATGGAAGTCCAAAACCATGTTGAAATTGTTGATCTGGTGTTAAAGTGTTAAAATCTAGATAAATAACAGTTCGGTAAAGGGTAAAGGCTATTAAAATCTATTAAACAGTTTGGTGGTTCGACTTCTAGGGGTTTGATCAAGTCAGAACTCGACCGCAGCATGTGGCTTATCAGGCTTACGCCTTCTTCAGTCTGCACGCTGGAGAGGGTCTTCCGCACCCAGCTTTTTATGACAAGATCCACACCGAACACCAAACCAGGAGGGCGGCATGGCATGGCTCAACTGAAAACCTGGCTGGGGGACCTTGCTAGTCAAAGCCTGTCATCTTGGAATTGCGAAGCTGGAAGCTGGTTGGAAGTGGATAACATGATTTACCCATAGGGAAAACAACAGATCACCTATGACCCAAAGATCATGCAGTTATGCCATAGCGGTTGGAAGTGGTCAAGAATTGTTCTTTCGGACAACAACACCATGTCAACATGGGAGGTGTCATTCAAGAACCTGGTAAATGATTGCATGCAGGAAATTGCAGGAATAATACAGAGATAATTACAATTCTGAGGGAATAAAACACCAGCGTCAAGGTGAGAAACAGTGAAAGGCCAACCTCAAGATCACCATCGTTCATTCATAGAAAGACGGCCACCAGAGTGAAAACCAGGTGCTCCAAAACAGGAGCACCAAGCTTCGCGTGCTTCGCGTCGCACCAGTGGGTGATCCTGTCAACACAATGACCCTACACCTCCAACTACCTCCCTTTCGAAGGTGGTTGAGGGGGTCTGTCCCTACCTTCGGAGGTGGGTTGGAGCCCGGGAGCGATTTCTGGCAAACCTTCCTGGCAAACCTTCCTAGCCACGATCGTCCGATAGCCACTCCCTTCTCCCAAATCCGTATACCCAAACCATCCATGTACAGCCTTCCAAGTTCGGTTGGCTTTTGGACATCCCGTGCCTCACCTGACATAAACACCCCTGAACAGAGGATCCTATATGGACCCCTGAAGCCACAGCATTCAATGTATTTCAATGTACATTTCGGAAGGGTCGAACCCTCTATAACAGGGGGTTGTACCCTCAGAACATCTCAGAAGCCAGTTTTTGAGGCTCCGAACCGGATGGGATGCCAATCCCACGGATGGGAGATGTATACATGATCCATCATGATCCCCCCCGAAATCACAAGAAAGAAACCACTTACGTCACCTCGACACCCGCCATGTACCCAACAAATTCAGACCCGAAGGCATTCCTAACACATCGTTTGGACGCCGGATTCGCTGCCTGGAACCCCAGTCCCAACCAGAAAGAGTTCTGGATGCTTTCCTTAGTCCCAGCCATATCCTATATGTAAAGGATTTCAATTGCTATGTTGAAACAACCAGAGCTGTTTCTGGGTGCTTTGGGGTTCCAGGCGACCACCGGTTCCTCCACCGGTCAATGCGCCGGTTCGCGGTGCAAGCGAAGCGGCGAAGCGAAGCAACCCTTCCTCACTGCTCGAAGACTCCGAACCCAGCGGTTCCCAGGCAGCGGAAAGGAGATGCCATGAGTAGCGGATCCCAGGGCAGAGTAGTCGGTTTGAGTCGAGGGGAACCACTGGTTATACCAGCGACATCGTATCTACTAGCTCTAGTATCGGTTTGCCTGGATGCCCTGAAAAAGTGTTGCTTCGGGCCCGGAGTCTGAAGGCGTTTGGAGCTCTGCGGATCGAAGGGCGGGACGTTGCACCAGGCGCTCCTCTTTGGTCACCCTCGGCCGGAAGCTGCAGCGACCAGAATTCCGCAGAGGGGGGGGGCTGGTACCTGCCATCTGAAGACCCACCCCAAATCTAAGAACCGTACAGCTCAAGGATGTCATTTCCGCTTCAACCACATCCTCAAGAGGTAGTTAGACACCAAGCAGGTAGTTCTAGGCCCAAGGGGTGCGTATTCTAACCCGATCTATCGTGCCTTCTATCTGTCGTGCGGGCTTAGACTATATATAATAATAGCAACTTCATGAGTTTGAGCCATCCAACATGAGCTGCACACTGACCTTCAGGCCCCCCTGGCCCCTGGGGATCCTGATCACACGCTGAGCATGTGATTCACAACGTGGTCATTCACTCCTGGGACCAAAACATAGGGACTGCCCAGATCCCATGCTCACGGGAAGTTGAAATTTTAACGCTCCTCACCCTTCCGCACAGCTTAGATTTCTGACCCTTTGGGTTCTGATTTTAGGTTCATGTGTTACTCCAAGGTCCTGTTGTTGAGCTCTCTTTTCCGTTTTCGGACTCTGCACGATGCGAAAGTATGCTAATCCCACCACTCCTCAGCATTTCACAGGGGTCTTTAGTCATGACTTTGGTAATCATCAAAGCTTTGATGGGATAGCATGCAAATTCCTAATTGCCTAGCCCATCCATTGAGCAAGCTCAGCCGGTAGCGAACACAGCGGCCTGGTGATGGCTCTTTTGCCTCATGTAGTCCAAAGGTTGCCAAAGACAAACTCTATGATTTGGACATAAAACAAACAACACACAAACCAAGTTAACATAGACCTAAAATTGTTTTAAACCAATTCATGAGACCCCATGTAGAATCGCTTCAAGGCAATGTACTCTACATTGGTGTTGTTGGCAGCTTGACAAAGGCTTGCAATCTTCCCTATGAAGTCTTCTGGTTTGTAGCCGGCATAGAATCGACTGTTGATTCCTGATCAGTGGTGTAACACCACACTAGATATCTATATCATTTCATCTCACAAACTGAGCCCTTCTATTTGATGGGTGACCAAAACATGCCATATATATAGGAAAGGCTCGGTCTCTGGTTTGGCTGAAGGCAATCTCCTGAAATGCCTCACAGATACAACTGTGAGCCACTATCCTCATGACAGATCTTTAAGTATCCAAGCTTAAGAGGGAACTAAACTAACTCCATTTGAGTTGCATGAAGCTTTGGTCGGCAAGGGAAAAAAAGCTCGCCCATATCGACCGCCTTCTTTGCCAAGGTCAGATAGAAACTCAAACATCCATCACAATGCCTTTGAAGCATTGCAGCCTGATCATCTGTCAAATATCTTGGCATCAGCTCGCAGTTGCGGTGCCACTCAGCCATGTGCCACCTAGGGTAAGCATCAACCACACACTTTGTTATTCTATCAGTACCCAGACCGATATAGCACTATCAAAACCAGTCTGTGGAGGGAACACTGTCAGAGTTCCTTCCATACCTTGCATATAATATCGGCTATTGGCTTTGGCACTACAATCCATATATCTATTTTGAATAATTTATATTGTCAATCTGGTTGCTGACATGTAGATTACATTCCTCCCATGAATTTGGGAACTCCGATGACTTCTAGACTATAGGACAAGTCACGTGCAAGAAACCATAAGGGGCAACCAGCTGTCACCACTGTAAGCAGGATCGTTTGCGATCGACACCACCTCTTCACATAGCCATGCCAATACACACCTGGCCTCAGAGCTATGGTGGACGAAGAGGCCAGAAACAGGGATGGATGTGCAATCTACATAAGCAACAAGACATGTAAATCACAACTGTTCTTTATTGATCTAGAAGTTGACACCCATTTTTTTGGTGCAGTCAAACCACATTCCATGCCTTACTTTGTAGTTCAGGCCATGGGTGCTGTTTGGATCTGAGACGCCATGGTTTGAATTTTGGCATTGAATGCCTTAGCTTTCCAGAAGTATAAGACTTCCATCAATCAATAAGGTTCAAATAAAAAACCTTTGTGAAAACAACGCAAAACACAATTATGCTAGTAGATACATCAAGCTACTCCACCTTGTTTCTTCTGCACCATGCCTTAAACACATCGTATGCTAGAAGTAAACGGTCAGCTTCGTCCATGTCTACGCCTCCCCAGACACGGTCATAAGCCAGGAGCTTCTTGATCACTGAGCCACATATCCAGAGATCTACTCCGAGATTCAGCGTGTGCATTGGGTCCCAACGAATCATCTCCACTTGGAAGTTAGGCAATCCAAGCAGTGGACCTCATAGCATATATATCGCGGTTGGATATATAAATTGAGTTTTGGTGGTGCATGTTTCTTTGTACACAACACCTTCTGGGCATGGGGTCCAGACATACCAAACAATATCTTTACAAAACACCTAAACACGTGTTCAAACAATGTAGAGGGACTGGTTTGATCTTTGCAGGCTTCAGCCATAAAAGTTTCATTACTATGGCGAAACTCACTGGCCAATGTCGATGGTGCTGTCACATAGTTTGGAACCCGAGCTCGGCAACAATGGCAAATTGATTTTGATAAATAGTAGTTTGCAAGATGTAGCCATTCCTGCACATGTTGGCCCCAAGTAGGCCATTGTGATGCATGCTTATTTTTTTGTTGGGGTGATCAAACATATTGTTCCAAATAACCATTAATCACCCACATCTCTAGCCAAAAGAACTCCATTACTTCTTTTAAAGAAAGTCCTGCTGCCATTTCCAATCACCGCGGATCTCGACGACAGCAAATCGCTTCCTCTCTCCACCAGGCATCAGGGCGCCTTCATTGTACAAGGTCTCCAACGACTCCACCACCTTGCGGACAGAAATTCGAGATTTATCGTGTTCTTGTTTTGAAGAGGAAAGGACAGGGGAGGTGGGCGGGCTACTGCATGTCTCATCATGGACCCATATTAGATACTCAACAACATACAAAGCTGTACGAAGCTCATGCAAGGTGCTGCTTGCAATATGGCACGAATGGTCGGGTATCCAGCTTTCAATTCCTTGTTGCATCACACCCCAAATCCAGCGGGGAATCACTTCAAGGAAAATTGTTACTCTAACTAGTTAAAATATAACTAAACCATAACATAAACACAAGTTAAACAGCAAATATGTTTTAATCTTGATCAAGCTTCTGAGCGACAAATGCTTATGGGGAAACACGATTCTATGCTGTGGGACCTTTTGTCAAGGACACCCCCCATAGATATCAGCATTACTTCATCTCCATTTTCTCGATACTGTGCTTCATCGCCCCAAATCCAAAGTGGATAGTGATCCTTCTCTGGGCTGATCCTGGCTAAAGGGCTATTGCAGTCGCAAAGATGCTGCCAAAAACCTGCGAGGTCATACCGAGCAATGGCGGGCAACAACATGACCAAAGTGTGCGGCATGACAATGGGAAGTCTCCTGCATCGAACCCATCAACAGTTTGTACAAGCCTTGGAAAGTACCTTTCACATGTTGAACTGTTAAATATACATGATATATGTGGTCCAAGCACCACTGAGAGTTCCACTGTGGAACAGGCTTCAGACCCCTTAACTATTCCCTGGCCCTTTTCACTTCAGTCCTGTGTTCCACACCATTTACACCACGTTGCTTTTGCACAGGAGCATCTATCCAATCGACAGGCACCTCCAGGACAGGGCCAGGTGAGCAGTGGCTGTGTTGCTGGCCGGAACCAAAGAGATCAGATATCCTCCATCCATAGCTTAAGAACCCATCAAACACAATATGTTCAAGCTGTTTGCTTGAAGCAATCATTTCCAACACGCCAAGCCTGTTCAGGATCATGTTTGTCAACCTTTCTCAAGATGTCTCTCTGAATGTTCGAGGTAAACTTCCCTTTGCACCCAGCCGATAACAAATCAGCACAAGGCCCCTGTAGTTCGATTCCATGGAGCTTGAACTCCTGCCAAACGGGTCGTACAGAAGCTGGAAGTTCGATCTTGGTTCCAGGTGGGAGGGTTCTTATTGATTGGATGCAATGCTTCACAGCTGGACATGATGACTCCAAATCTAGATCTACCACTCCTTGTCCACCACATCGATCAACCGCTGAGTCTTTGCAAAGGAGGTTTCCTCAGCCCATCTCCCGAACTGCACATCCCCCCCCAAAAAATACAAAATCAGATACACCTAATTTTAGCAATAACTTTTTGGATATCTATATAAATCTAAATACACATATATATATATATGATTTCCCAATACCCGCAGGATAGGCCAAGCTTCGCCCAAACCAGCCTCTTTGACAAGGAAGGCATACAAAGGAGAGCTCTTTGCATTTCTTATCTCAGCACCTGCGCATGGGGACCGCCCTAATCCAAAGAACAAAAACTCCATACAGGGGCCCTCACCCATCAAAGCTCAGCATTTTTCTCGCAGGCATGTGTGATGCTGTAGTTTGTTTGGCGCATCATTGCATCCAAACTCAAAAGATCAGCAGTGTAGCCAAGCTTGAAGTACATGGGAAAACACAATATATATTATTATATGTTATTATAGTTTCACTTTGTGTGTTCATTTGGATGTTTAGTGCGAACCAGTCTTAACCGTTAGGTCGTGTTTGATGTCAAAATTGTTCGCCTGGCTGCACACTACGGTTGGCGGGCAGGCAGTGCTTCTGATATATAGGCAACATTAGTTTGAATTTCTTGGTAAGGAACACATGATGTTATCCAAACAGGTGGCAAAGAGACACCATGCCTTGCACCCATCCTACACAAGGGTATGTTAAGGCTCACCCTAGGCTACCCTGAATCCCCTCATTCACTCCCTTCACCCAGCTCACGCTTCAGGAGATACTTCATGAGCATGTGGTGGCGAAGGAACAGCTTTGGCTTTGCTCTTGGGCTTGTTCTTGGGCTTCGCAGGATCCTGAGTCAGAGTGTTTTTGGTACGCTGGTATTTTTCCTGCCCTCAAAGCTTTAACAGGGACCCTCAACAGGACTTGATGTAGATCATAGTACGATTGACAACTAAAAT